TTTGGGTATACTTTATTTCTTTATATAATAATTGTTATCAATAATAAAAGGGACGAACGTAAAGTTTGAGGAGAAAATAAGCGATGTTCTACTCGTAAATTTCTGTATTCATAACTTATATTGATCTTAACACTTTTTTTTAATAATGACGTGTCTGTTCGATGTTGAAGTTTGATCAGATTTTTGGACTGATAATTGAACAACAGAGTTCTCTTTCAACCAGTTTATTACACCTAAAGATAATCATCTAGATCAGTAACAGACAATCATTCACGAACTAACTTGTAATATTGAATTTAAACTTAAGAACAGTGCAACCACGTGACAATATGTATAAATACCAACGGCGCAAAGATGCATTCATACACGTATGTTAACGTGACGCTGAACATTCCGCTCTCGCATTTATGAATACCTTTATTTTGAAATCATACAAGATACCTTGAGATGATGACGGTTTTGTTGTAATATATTTACCAATTCGTTTGCAAGTCTCTTGTGTTGATTAAGCATAGTAACTTGTAACAACGTGTGTCCTTCATTATTACGAGCTTTTGTTACAGCGACAAACTTGTCAGAACTCAATTCCCTTATAACTCTGATAATCTCATTATTGCCATTTTCCGCATATGTAAACAGTTCCTCAATCATTCTCAGTAAATCGACAATACTCTGATGTTTGCTAAGATCAGCTGGTGTTTCGCCTTTCTTGTTTTCAATGTTATAAATCGCTCCGTAACTGAGTAAACAACAGACAATATCTAAGAAACCGTTTTCAGCCGCAATATGGAGCGATGTCGTGCTGGTGCGAATAGTTTCAGCGTTAATAAACATGTCCAAGTTATCACGATTTACATGTTGCAGCAAAATATCCACAATTTTCCAGTGACCGTTGGATGTGGCAACGTGTAACGGAGTTTGGCCATCACCAGAGGATACATCGACATCGGCTCCACTGCTTAACAAAAGATTCACAACATTTATCTGTCCTTTGCTGGCAGCATAATGTAGTGGCGTCCTTCCTTCGGTGTCTGTATCATTTAAATCAATGTCATCTTCCAAAAGACGTTGAATTTTTTGTATGTCTCCGTCATTAGCAGCAGTATTGATTTCCTGTATGTGATGAAAGAAATCCGAAATATCTAGACGCTGAAATTTCAACGCTGAATTACAATCTTCCATGATTTTCAGTGTTGTCAAAAGAATATCATGAGTAGGGGTAAAAGTATTTTTCATCCGAGGAACGATCTTTCTGCAGATTCTTAGCGCGCTGATCCATTTACGTTGTTTAAAAAGTACCCATATTATTTTGTGGTAAGTATCTAATGTTTCAGGATAATTCCGCCCTAAAACAATTTCTTGGATATTTATTAACTCTTGATAATGTTTCATCGCCTTCTGATACCTATTTTGTTTCAAGATTACGTCGGCAATGGCGGACAATATTTTTAAAGTATCGGGATGATTAGTGCCAAACAACGATTTCATCGTATTAAATGCTTCTTCAAGGATTTTTAAAGCGTCTTTAAGTTTACCTTGTTGAGCTAGAATAAAAGCTACATTGCTTTGAGCGTGTAAAGATTGTAGATTATCTATTCCGAATGTACTTTTACACTTTTCATACTTTAGCCTGCACATGTTTAAAGCTTCCTCATACCTTCCCAGTCTAGCTAATACCATATGAAATTGATCAGGTAAAATAGTCCGATGATTCGACACTGACATCTCTTCCAATTTTAAATAAATCTCTTGATAAATGCTATAGGCTTCTTTGTGTCTTTCTAGCTTATCTAAAATTAAAGCAATCTTGCACTTTGTGTTTAAAGTATCTTTACTACGTAAACCTAGCATTTCATTCTGCTTGTGGAAAATCTCTTCTCACATTTCTAAAGCTTCTTGATACTTTCCTTGTTCGGTTAATATTGTAGCAAGATGTGTTTGAATATCCAAGGTACCCGGATTATCTGGTCCTAATATTATTCTTCTCTTCTCCAGTGCATTTCTAAGACAATTGAAAGCCACCTTCCAATTACCTTGCTTTAGCTGGTTTAATCCTCTACCAATCTGATAAGATATATTGCCTTGCGATACTTCTTTAAGCCTCTCAACGTTTGTAAAATTGCTGTGTATCGCAGCAACCACCAGCGATCTGTTTCCTTCGTTGCGGGCATTCATTACTGCCCTTACCGTACCCACATCGTTGATCCTGTTAAGGTCATCGATTACTCCTGCATTATCGCTTTTAACATTCTCAAATAAGTTGCTTATTAATTTGAGTAAATGTATTATTTTTTCGTCTGTAGCCAAATCCAGCGGGGTTTTATCAGTGCTAGAAACAGCATTGTACATTGCAGCCTTCGACAAAAGGAGCGTTACAACTTTAAAGTGAGAGAACTTGGCAGCGTAATGCAGTGGCGTAAATCCGTTAATAATCACATTTGGATTAGCTGCATTTTCTAGTAAAATATCGACAATTCTATCGTAACCTTTCCACGCGGCATAATGTAACGCTGTTACATTCTTAACATCCTTCGCGTTAACAAACGCTCCTGCTTTAATGTACTTTTCAACGTTATTTAAGTCTCCGCGGTTTACAGCTTTAAACAATTTCCCAGTTACAGTTAGTAGTTCTACGATATGTTCATCATTTGTCATATTCCATGGAAGTTTATTCATCTTGTCGACGGCATTGAACATTGCGCCGTTTTTTAGTAAAATTTCTATAATATCTTTGCACTTATTCGCGACAGCGAGGTGTAGAGGAGTCCGGTCTAGATTAGTTTTAGCATTAACGTCAGCACCCTTTGCTATTAAATATTTTACGACTTTCAACCGACAGTTCTGTACAGCGTAGTGTAACAAGGTGTTGTTATCTATGTCAAGCTCATTGACACTCAGTCCTTTGCTAAGAAAGTATTCTACGATGTCTTTGTGACCTTCTCTGGCTGCGATGTGTATTGGCTTCGAACTCTGCCGAAACTGACTTTCAACATTGATATCAGCCCCTTCATCTACCAGATATTTTACCATTTCCAAGTTCGGTTGCTGCGAAGCAATTTGCAGTAACGTCAAGCCGTTGTATTTAGTATTCATTTCCACCTGCTTGGACAGCAACAATAACTTAACTACTTCCAAATCACCATACTCTACAGCTAATTCTAAAGCTGTTCGATTATCTTTATCTTTAACGTCGATCCTTGCTTTATTATTCAGTAAAATTTGTACGATATTATAGTGACCGTTAGCTACTGCCACATGCAGAGGCGTACCAAGTTCAGATTCAGCATTGATTTTCGCTCCATTCTTTATGAACGTTTCGACTACTCCATCGTGACCTGCACGTATCGCCGCGTGCAAAGGTGTCAGGCTCAACATTCCAACAGCATTAACGTTAGCTCCTCGTGATATCAATGCATTTACTATCTCTTTTCTAGCAGCGAAATGTAATAATGTAGCACCATTGAATTCTTTGTTAACGGGAACTTCGTTTCTCAGTAAAATCTCTACAATCTTTCTGTAACCTTTAACAACTGCAGTTATCAAAGCTTCACTACCCACTGAACGAACATTAGCTCCCTTTGATATGAGTAGTTCGACGATTTCTTTCTTGTTGTATATAACAGCAGTAAGAAAAGGTGAGAGATACCTATTGTTATCATTAATTATGGCTCCGTTTGTGAGTAAAATTTCAACAACTTCCTTATGACCAGTAAGAATCGCTAAATCCAACGGTGTGAAACATCTCACATTCACGTCGTCAGTAATAAATATGTGTACAGCATTTACGTTAGCTTTATTTTTGATGAGTAGAAGAGCATTATCTATGCAACCGTTATAAGCAGCTATATGTAACGGAGTCACACCATTTTTATCTTTAACATTGACTGCAGCTTCGTTTCTCATCAATAATTCGATAATGTGTTTATTACGAGGTGAAGCGGCAGCAACGTGTAGAGGTGTCCTGCCATTATTGTCTGTAGCATTTATTTTAGCCCCATTTTGTATTAAAAAATCAACAACTTCCATTTGATTTTTCATAACAGCAGCGTGCAATGGTGTTGAACCACTAATGGTCCTAACGTTAAGACTTGCTTCAGTTTTTAACAAAAGATCGATTATCTCCTTGTGACCTCCGACTGCTGCTTGATAGAGTACTGTAGCTTCATCTTTGTCTTTAGCGTGAACGTTGGCACCGTGATCTATAAGGATGTTAACCACCTCCAAGTGGCCATGATACGCTGCAAAGTGCAATGGAGTTATGCCAATAATAGTCGTAACGTTGATATTAGCTTTTTGTTTCAGCAAATCGAGAACTATTTCTTCATATCCGTATATTACAGCATAATGCAAAGGTGTATAGTTATAGATTTTATCGCAGGCATTGATATCGGCTCCATATGTCAACAAGACTTTTTCTATTGCCTCGTGACCTTGTATTATGGCATTATGCAACGGTGTGTAACCACGTATATCTCTGGCATTAACAATTGCCCCTGCCGAAATTAAAGCATTAACTACTTCCAGGTGGCCGTAGATAGCTGCTATATGTAACGGTGTGACATTATATTCGTTTCTAACTGAAACGTTTGCTTTATTTTGAAGGAACAGATTGACTAGCTCCAAGTAACCGAATTCCGCAGCTGTATGCAATACAGTAAAGCCACCTATGGTTCTCTCGTTAATGTTAAAATGTGCAGATTGCACCATCAAAATCTTAACGATATCGATACATTTATTCCTTACTGCGTGATGTAAAGGCGTGTACCAATCTATGTCATGCATATCGAGTTCACTTCCATTTTTTAACAAAACCTTGACAGTATCTTTGTGATTGCCTTGTGCCGCAAGATGCAACGGTGTTTTCTCATAACTATCCGTGTCATTTACATCGAAACCCCGCTCATCTACAAAATATTTTACAATATTTGTCCTCCCATTTGCAGCGGCAATGTGTAACGGATTCTGACCATCGACGTTCTTAACGTTGATGTTTAAATCGAGCCTGAGAAGAAATTTCACGATTTCGAGATTCGGTCCTTTGGCAGCAAAATGTAATGCGGTCCATAAGCTAGTATTTCTAGCGTATATGTCGGCTCCTTTTCGAAGACAACTCTTTAAGTCATCGAAACGTCCCAATTCTAATGCTGCAAACATTTCTTGTTGATTGACGATAGTGATAAGGCTTTGATTATATTTGTTTCTCATTTTCAAATAACCATCTTCCATTGATTTGCCAATTTTTTTCTTACTTTCCATTATATTCTCTGAGACAAGCTTCTTAGCATTCAGGATAATATTTAACATAGGATCTGATAACAGTATATTGTTTACAGTATTGTCGTGTGCCAAATGATTGCGCAAGCATTTTCCAGTTAACGAAGGAGAGTTATCGTCCAAAAAGAATAAATTCTTTTCTAGATATTCTTCGCCTAGGATCGACATTATATCTAAAACAAGCATTTCGATCACTGATTGCAACTTTTTACTGGTCTTATAAAAGAACAGATTCTGAACTGAATTTCCCATCAATTTATTATCGGTCAAGACATCTTTTAATTCAGCTAGTTTTAACTGAAGATCATTATCATATTTTTCTTTTCTAATATTCCAATCTTCCTTTTCTGTATACACAGGAATGACTGAAGCTTTCTCGGTTAATTTTGGTCGCAAATCTTCAATCCACTTAATATTACTTATTTCGTATTTGATAATGTCATACATTTTTAGAATTATACAGCAAACTTTATCAAAATCGTCGACCACTAATCTGAAACTGAAGCTACACATAATTGATAGCAACAATTCAACGATTTCTTCAAGGTCACACGTTTCTGTTGGAATTATGTTCTTCAATTTCTTAGCAAAGCGTTTCGTAATTATAATAGTAGTATTATTGCTCTTTGTTTCACTAATGCTTCGGATGTTCTCTCTCAACATTTTAAATCTCGTCAAATATTCACGTTTCATGTTTACCCATTTATTTTTCAACAGATTGATTACATACTGTACTCTATCGAGAAGCTTTTGTTCGTTTTCAGTCTTCTCAATTGTGCTGTTATTTAGTTCTTTGATAAGGATCTGAAGTTCATTGCACTCCATTGTTTGGAACTCTTCTTCGATTATATCAAACTCATTGCCTGTGTTAACAAACGTTTCTGCGACTTCTTTTATTTCATCCAAGCATTCACTGTTCTCAATTCTTTTGCATAGTGTCTTGATGACTTTCATCTTTTCCTTATGCAGGATATTATTGATATCATCGCCAATTTTCTTAATATCATTTTGAACGCCAATAAGAAATTTAACAGTCATATTTTTTTCGATTTCTGTTCTTTTCTTAAGTGAATGAGCATGTGACAGCAAGTCACGCAGATTTATGACGACTTTTCTGGTGTTTTTCGACAACGACAGTAACAGAACTTCGTTCATAAAATCGGATAACTTGGGAGATTCCAAAGAATTTTTTAGATGTTCCCCGATGACTTGTAAAATTCTTATAATGATCAATCGCGCATGTTTCTCTGCAGGATCAATCAATGAGCCCAGCTGTACATAATCTTTCATTTTTTGTAAAGAGCAGATGTCTCTAATTTGTTGATAATCGTTATACAGTTCTTCGAATTGAGGATAATTATCGATTATTTTTGCAACAATTTCCGGCCGTTCCCCTTTTGGGAGATGAGTGAACATCTCGGGCTCCTTTACGTTTCCAAGTACCTCTGCAAAATTCTTCAGATAATCAAGTATTTTGCTTTTGTTTAATACGGCTCGATAAAATAAATTCAATTCTTGTTGTTTCACGTGTGAAGAAACGAAACTAACCAAACAAAACTCCATCTCTTCCCAAGGTATCTTGTTATATGTCGATTTCAGTTGCCGTTTTAAGATATGAATATTTTGTGCAATAAATTTGATTACGAATAGAAATTTATCATCTACTTTCTTTGTGTTCGGATATTCTGTCGTCAATAAATTAATATTTTGGAGCACCAATTCAATGCGTTTTTTCACGTTATCAAAATTGTTATTCAAAGCTTTATTTTTATTTTTATTTTTTTTAACGTTGTCAGAAAAAAAACGAAGATTTATCAATTTATTTTCAATATAAATTTGTATCTCATCCGACAGTGACACATTCTTTAACTTCAATTCTTCGTAGGCGCTTGAAAGAACTTCATCTAATTGTTCTGGATAGGTAGCAAAATAATCGCCAGGCCACTTCTTAATCAGCGTATCAAGAAGTTCAACATTGTTTGAACGTATAGAGTAATAAAAAGCATTATGGCGTTCTTCATCTTGATCCTTAAATTCTATAGCACTTTTCCCAATATCAAGAGACAATCTGTTTCGAATTCCACTATTGCTGAGTATGTACTTTAGAATCTCAACTTTGTTATATTGACAAGCTAAGATAATTAAATTGCTGTTTTCCATAGGGTTCTCTCCACTGTCATAGAAATATTTCAATGTAGTCGTGGTTTCTATGTCGTTTATATATCCAATAAAATTGTCAAATTTTTTTAAACTATTAAGGTCACCGTCTGACATAGCTTTTTCTAGTTCATTAAGAAGCAGAAGATAAAATCTTTTTCTTTTTGTTTCCTTATCAAAGAGTTTTTTATATTCTTTTTCAAACTTTTCCTTTGTTATATTCGTGTATGATGTAAGTTGTTCATATTTTTCATAACATTCAGTATTATTCTTCTCTGTTGTATCCATAATGAACCCTGAAGATATAGGTAGATTAATACATGTACAGTATTTATAGATACGGCAAATACGGCGTTTAGGGGACTCGTGGTCTTGACTTTGAAATGTGTCATCAGGGATGAAATTCTTCCTCACGTATTTATCTATCGTTCATCTTTAGATATTCGCAAGAATATAGAATGGATTAGTTAAATGGAATCATCTATACATCTGGCTTATTTGTTGCCTTATGAAAAAACTATTCAAGGAAAAGTTTTATTTTTCCAAGAAGCACGTATACTGCTGAAAATATTTTTTTTAGGAATCAGTTTACTCATGTAATTTCAATTGACGAATCTGAAGGATGCTAATGCTTTCCACTGATTAAGATTGAATGTTGAACACGTTTTTAATGAAAAACACATATATTTATACAAGTGATGATTACAGTGAGAAATAAGAGATAATAGATATGAAAAATGGTAACAGAATTGGTACAGAGGATTTACATGCTTGCTAAGTGAACGATAGCAATTTCTCTCGATTAATGCATAGCTACGCGGGAAAGTCGTCAGTTTCCACTCATGTTTTCCCACTCCCAATTTCTACTCACTACCGCTTTTAATTATAATTTTAACATAGTAAACATATAAACTAAGTACAACAAAAAGTGTTTTTACTATATTTCAATATCGATATGGATCATTGTATGATGTAATATACGCTATAAGACTCAATTTGGCTTGCAAAACATTATTCAAATACTAAACATTTGATACTTTGATGGTATCCCTAACGCTTTTCATTAAGAATACGTGTCTACGAAATGAAGGATATCAAAGGACACAAAGGAACTTTTAGTGTACAGTAAGGTCGGATACTATTTTGGAAGTATGTACTTTTACAATAATGGAAAAGTTGAGTTACGACATCCGTTTATTTTACTAGAAAAATGAGAATAACAACATGTAGGATACTTGTTGGAAATAGTTTCTGCATCTCGAGAATGTGGAGCAAATAAAATGCGAGAAAGCGTCAGAGCACGACCGTCTTTAGTAGAAGACCGTGGTGGGGAAGCAAGCGTTTCGGACTGACAGTCTCAAGTGGCGATGGAAAAACCACGGCAAGAGACATGGCCAGTGATCTATGTATATGGATAGAGGATAGCATATGCTTCCTTACGGTCTAGCTACACAGACGTGACGGCCGTGGTCAGAGGCTTATTACTATCCTTTACTATCATGCGCACCGGTTCAGCAGAATACGTTAGCGAGAACGTTAAGTTCAGTTTTTAATAAGCCTCTCTAAACAGTAGAGTCATTGATCACTAGAGAGCGAAAGAAAATTTTTCCGTTACTGTTACGTAATTAATACGTGTAGTAATTACTCGTGCTTATAAACCATTTCTAAAGAAAACATTCATTTTTGTACCAACACCGGTCCGCGATTGAAATTAAAACTCAACAATACAATGAATAATTGATCTCCAATTCGGCATAAGTAATAGTTCGTCAGTTTCCACTCATGTTTTCCCACTCCCAATTTCTACTCACTACCGCTTTTAATTATAATTTTAACATAGTAAACATATAAACTAAGTACAACAAAAAGTGTTTTTACTATTTTTCAATATCGATATGGATCATTGTATGATGTAATATACGCTATAAGACTCAATTTGGCTTGCAAAACATTATTCAAATACTAAACATTTGATACTTTGATGGTATCCCTAACGCTTTTCATTAAGAATACGTGTCTACGAAATGAAGGATATCAAAGGACACAAAGGAACTTTTAGTGTACAGTAAGGTCGGATACTATTTTGGAAGTATGTACTTTTACAATAATGGAAAAGTTGAGTTACGACATCCGTTTATTTTACTAGAAAAATGAGAATAACAACATGTAGGATACTTGTTGGAAATAGTTTCTGCATCTCGAGAATGTGGAGCAAATAAAATGCGAGAAAGCGTCAGAGCACGACCGTCTTTAGTAGAAGACCGTGGTGGGGAAGCAAGCGTTTCGGACTGACAGTCTCAAGTGGCGATGGAAAAACCACGGCAAGAGACATGGCCAGTGATCTATGTATATGGATAGAGGATAGCATATGCTTCCTTACGGTCTAGCTACACAGACGTGACGGCCGTGGTCAGAGGCTTATTACTATCCTTTACTATCATGCGCACCGGTTCAGCAGAATACGTTAGCGAGAACGTTAAGTTCAGTTTTTAATAAGCCTCTCTAAACAGTAGAGTCATTGATCACTAGAGAGCGAAAGAAAATTTTTCCGTTACTGTTACGTAATTAATACGTGTAGTAATTACTCGTGCTTATAAACCATTTCTAAAGAAAACATTCATTTTTGTACCAACACCGGTCCGCGATTGAAATTAAAACTCAACAATACAATGAATAATTGATCTCCAATTCGGCATAAGTAATAGAATTAGATTCGTTAGCAATGGATACCTTTTTTAACTTTAAGCCTAGAATCACAAAGGAAGCAGCAGATTTAATATTATGTATAAAAATAATTACAAATAAAGTTAATAAAATCAAAATAACTATAGGTG